TCAGGACAACATGGCCTGTAATTTAAAAACAGATCTGAATAATTTAAGTGTGATGTACAGTGGGATCCTAGAAAAAGATAAGGTCTCTGCCAAAAGATCGTAACAATACTTGTGTACATATTTATTTATCTATTTATTTATTTATTTATATATTATAACAGGCTGTGATAACATAGAATTACCAATGTATTAGAAAAGATCTTGTTTTTAAAAATTGTGGGAAATGATTGTTATCATTAGTTGATAGTGTGGGGAACCTCTCACCAGATAACGTGATAAACACAATTTTCTAGTCAAAACGCCTGTAACAAAGTAATTGTTACTGGTTTTTAAAAAATGCCTATATATGTAAGAGAATGTTAAGAAGAGGTCTTTATTTATTTATTTATTTATTATATATGTATATAGTTTGTTTGTATACATATCGTGGAATGTGCAATGTGTTTACGATTTGACTTTGTATGTGTAAGTAACAAAAAACTGATATTTTATAACTATTTATACAATTTATAACTGTCTAAATGATTATGTCCCTATGTCTCTGTAGATGTTTGAAGACCACAACCCGAATCCCAATCAACATCGTATGAAAGCTGGTTGATCGCACAACAAACAAATTGTCTCCATGTTTGGTCGCCACCATTTCCATGACCGTATAGCCATTGCATCATGTAGGTATGAGTCACATTGATTTTCATCCTTGTTGGTATATTCGGTATATATATCGCTTTGTGACATTTGTTGTAGGCCAAATTTTTTGCCATTTTTCGCCTATTTGTCTGTTCTATGTACATTAGTGGCATGTGAGTACGTGATTTTCTCCTGCCTTAGTTCTCAAACATCTTCTAATTTCGTCAATTATGTGATTGTGGGATGGTTTCTACCGTCTTGTGTTATTAACACATAAACCTTACTGTCTGTACAAATTCGAAAGCTCCACATCTAGGAGCTACAATATCTTCAAGATTGTCGGTGGGGAAGCACTTGAAAGAAAAAGCAACCTCAACCAACATTGCTATTAATTCATAATGACGGCCTCTGTTGAGATTTTGAGTACCAATTGTCAAGATATGGGTGTTAAGCGGTGCACGCCGAGTTATCCTTACTTATGCTTATGAGATCGACGGTTGAAGAAGTGGAAAAAGTTTAAAGACATTTTATTTTAAAAAAAAGCTTCTCTCTCCTAGAAGAAACGTTCCTAGATTTCTTTAGAAAGAAACACCATTTGCAAGCTGCACTTGAAATATGCTTGCAAGGTTAAGACTTACAAGGTTAATTTATCTTACAATGTAAATCTCGCCTAACAAACATTACAGTTCTTAAGATGATTGAACGTGGGAGGGTGTTTCTTTTTTCTTTTTATCACGAGACTGAACTGAAATACGTGACTGAACAGACTTTTCTAAGAAACTACTGGAAAGGCTGGGGTAGGTTACATGGAAAGCTATTTAACCGCGAGAATTAAGACATGATTTCCTCCCATAAAGAGATGAATCTAGCCTCGGCTTTTTCGACACAACTAAAACGATGATTGAATTCTAGCGATTGTCCTAACTCCGTTGATTAGTTACATCGGTGGGAGTTGGTATAAATTGACTTGATATGGCCCCATACAAAAAATTCGAGTTGTCACTGTTGTGCTCTTGTTTAAATATTTCTGTCACCACGCGAAAACCTAAACAACCTTAATATTGTGAGATTTACCACGAGTGGTCAGGGCTTTGCAGAACATGTAATTTGGTCGTTTTCGATCATTTTAGTCAACCAATCACAGAAATCACACTGAAGATGGCGAAATGTCTCTGACAGATCAAAATAATCATTAACTGTAATTCTCTTAACATCTTTATCTATGTGAAGAGATTAGTGACCATTAATCGATAGTTATTCAGATATCGTGAGATGCGGTCGGGTGTGATGTAGATTTCAGAAAAACATTTTCTTTATCGTGCGAACGTTTCGATCTTTTATTGAGATCATCTTCAGGGTCTGGGATTTACAAACAATGTTTACATTTAACAAATTTAACAAATATATTTAGGATGGTCCAATTACACAGAAGACAAACACTTTGAGTAAATAGAAATACTTTGTTTGAATATAAAATATATTTTTCATTGTATAAATTCACTTTTCCACATCCTAAATGTATTTGTTAAATCTAAACAATGTTTGTAAATCCCAGGCCCTGAAGATGATCTCAATAAAGATCGAAACGTTGGCACGATAAAGAAAATGTTTTTCTGAAACCTACATCTCACGATATCTGAATAACTATCTTTATCTATTAAGAAATACAATACATATTTTTACGTTGATAATATCAAATATAGTGACGTGCGATACCAATCGATATGAGTAAAGTTTCGAGTAATTTCTTTCGATACCGATTAATTTTGGTATCGAATATTGTCATTCGATACAAGTACTGTATCGAATACTTTTTGTAGTATCGGAAAATATAATCGAATAGATTTTTCTTCGCGTGTTAAAGTAATATTGACTTGTTATTTTCCGTTCGAAACTTACCTCTCATCAAACTGGGAGTTGACTAGTTACTATTAAGAGCGCCTATTAGCGGCGTGTGTCAATAAATTTAATCGAGGTTTTTAATTGGTGGTTGGTAACTCTGCTGATAATTCTGATAACTCATAATTCTTTCCTGCACTTTCAATTTCACAAATTTCTTATAAATTTTTTTTTTGTCTTCAACTCCCTAAAAATTGTTCGCCTTCCTTCTCGCAGGTAGGTAGCTAATCATGTCACGTCCCAAAATTAAGTCATGGGGTTATTTTACTATGAAAACTGAATCCTCGGCGTCTTGTAAACTCTAGGGAATACGGTGGGAATACGTCTTATCTTTTCAAACATTTTAAAAGCGAACACCCGTTGATCAATTTTCTCAAAACTCGATAACGATAAGATTGAAATATCAATTATGTTCAAACGTGTTGACAGATTTTCCTTGTTCTTACCTACGTCTGTATGAAAAAATCCTTATAAAAAAACAAAACTGCAATTTCTTGATTTAAACGAAGTCCACAATAGTAAGTTCATCAGTTATGAATAAAGGAAAAAGTACTCATATGTGTAAGTACTCATTAGTATCGAATAATTTCTGTCGATAGTTGAGTAGTATTGAATATTTCTTTCGATACCAGTATCAAATATTTTTTGGTATCGCATGTCACTAATCAAATTATCCGTGGTATGGAGGCTTAGAGTGAGGAAATGCCTACAAGGGCTGCTGAGGAAGAGCCAATTAGTCCAAAGCGTAGAAAATAGAAAAATATTTATAGTCACGTAACACTCGAGTTTTATTTTATCCATTAATCAATTAAATAAAAATTTTCAGTTGTGCTGGTTTTCATCACAACGGTATCTTTTTTAGTAACAATCAAAGAAGACGTGAATTCCATTTCCATTCTGGAGTTTAGATCTAAAATGTGGTAATCAAGGATTACCAGATTTTTAGGCTTGTATGACTTATGATAATTATAAAGAAAGAAAGTATACTATACAAATAAAACAATAAGTATGTTTCTTCATTTACAAGTTATGTTTAATTATTAACAAATAGTTTTTTAATTTTTAGACGTGTTCTTTGTTGTTTTTTAAAAAAAAGGAAGATTGTTGTTGTTTTATTGACTTTTATGTTTTACTGTAAAGCTATTTTTATGAGGGGTAAAATGGTGGATTAATCATTAATTTATGTATAATATATAAGAAATGTTTTGTAAAAAGAATTTAATATTGTATTATCAGTATCCTGAAATGTATGCTTTGATTGTTTTTGTAATTCAGGCCTTGGGCATGACTTAAAATACAGTGGAAGGCTTGGCAAAAATTCTTTAGATTAAAAAAACACCCAGTGACCACAACCTCGATCATTATATTAGTATAACCAATCAGAGTTAATACTTGTAGATGTTATTATAAATTTACGATACAAATATGGGGTTATAATGTATAAAAAGTGTATGTAATTATAACAATGGGTGATTTATGATGGATCGATTTTCTTTTGAAAAAAAAAAATAGGGGGGAGAGACGAACTGGAGCGGAACGAAGTTCGTAAAACACAGTGGGACATTTCGAATAGGTATTGCTCCGGGGGCGCATATGGGACGCAACTTCAAGATTTCCCGATGGTCCCGCTGTATTTTCCTCTGACATTTATCCATTTAAAAACTAGCATCACCCACGGGGTTTTTTCTGTAGTTGAGTCGTTCTGTTGAAAGATTCGATAGAGTATGGAAAAAAAAGAATAGGGTGGGAAAAACTTCATGCCCGAGAAATCGCCTTTCATTTTGTGGAACATATACGGTGCGAAGATATTGGCAGCCCCTTCTTTCCGACGTCCTGACATTGGAGACATCGCATAAACCCTCCAATCCCCCCTTCGCATCGGATCCCACCGGCTTTGGCAAATTCCGAAAGTGTGATGCATATAAGATTATTCTTTCATTTCCACTCCCGGCTATACGAATGTGAAAACGTCAAATTTACGGAAGTATGTTTATTTGATAAAAATTTGTGACAGTCTCTCTTGCAGGTGATATCTTATTGAGGGAATAACAGTTGACACTTGATAATTCTTTTTTTTTTAAATAAAAATGTAGTTAAAACTGATTTCACTTATTGCTTTGAAGTAAGCCTAAAATTTGAAATCCACCCCTTTTCATTCATAATTGTAAATTAACGTTATGATTTTGTAACATGAGTATGCGATTAGTTCATCAATAAAACATCCGCCACTTGCACGGTCTGGGATCTGCTAACCCTAGCGGATTGCTGCTAGTGTTCTATTTCGTCTTTTAAGGCTTCAGTTTACTTTCCTCGTTGCTCAACACAAAAGTTTGAGTAAGGAAAAATCAAAAGGTTGGAAAAAAATTATAATGTTGCTCCAAGATTTTTTGTCTGGGTTCCTTTCAGTAGGAACGTTTCACCTGTTTTCTCAGCATGAATGGTGTAATTGTTACAACTGATTTTCCACTTACCTCTGCACCTTCCAGTCGTGGCTAAGGCGTTTGTGTATTGGCACGAAAGGCCATTTTCACAGGGTGTGAGTGGATCGCAAATTTCGCCCTCCTCTCTCTGACAACCATTGTCACTGCAGTTCCAACTGCCATTCTATAAACAAAAAACAAAAAATGACAATTTTTTTAGAATATTGTTAACGAGCAAGTGGACTGTAATTTTACGAACATAAAAAAATAAGGTAAAATTGAAAAAGAAAAAAAAAAGGAAAAAACTCACCATTCAGACTCGTTAAAGTTCCACGATGAGTCAAAGGGGGAAAGACAGGGGTGCGGACGATGTAGGAAAATCGGGATCAGGATAACTTTTATCGAAGAGCCACTGTCGATTGGTGATCTCGCCACGACGATCGCGTGAAAAAAATAAAGGAAGGCAAAATAGAAATTTGAACGACAACAACGAACTGTGTAAAGCGGAGAGGACCGAGCGTTAACATCGCCTGACCCCGAGCTCAAAGTCCACGAAAAATGGCGTTAACAAATATCATTATATATAGGATATCTAATAACCTAATCCGTTAATTACAGTTTACCATCAACCCTAACCCAAATATTTTTTGAAAAAGAAAAGTGAAAACTACCATCTAAAAAGCTAAACATTACATTTGGATGAGATATTCTTGAGAGGTCATATGGAGCTAAAACAATTTTTGGGCTGTGCCGAGCTTCGGGTGAATTTTCCACCATCATCAGGGCCTCTATTAAAAAAACCAAATTAACATAAATACAAAGTAACTTATTAATAAATAGTACTATACTACATAATACGTTTTTTAATAAATAGGCCATGATGATGGTAGAATAATACACCGAAAGCTCGGCACAATCCAAAAAGTTGTTTTTGCTCCGTATGTGTTCTGAAGAAGGTCTCATAACCCAAACTTAATTTGCTGCAGGTCAATAAACATCCAAAACAATAAATATTAAATGTTCTCAGTTATATGGATTTAGTAAATACTAAGAGTCAAAAGGATCTTTTTTGGAACTAGGATTTTTTTTTTTAATCAGTCCAGGCAAACTTTGTTTGCCCTGATAAAGAAATTAAATTTTCCGAAACCTTAGATAAATGAAATAGGAACTTTTTTGCTCTTACTGAATAATAAGATTTTATCTTAATAAAATTAGGTTAGTTGTCTAAAAAAGATCTTATCATATAAACTTAATTTGCTGCATGCCATCAATACTTGTGCCCTGGAAAATCTTAAAAGAAGTTACACTGACAAAAAAATCCTCATAGGATCAGATAGGCAAGCAGCTTTTAAAGCATTAGGATGTAAAAGAATCACATCAAAATTAGTCAGCGAATGCATGCAAAATCTCCAAAACCTGGGGGAACACAACAACCTGATGATATCTTGAGTGTCGGGCACAGAGGAATTTTTGGTAACGAGAAAGCAGACAGACAGGCCAGAGGAGGATCTGCAAGACCATACATATGCCCTGAACCTATTCTTGCGATAACAAAAAGAAATATAGAATCCTCCATCGCAGAATGGATCCAAGCAAAACAAAAGGAGAAGTGGGTAAACTCGAGTGGTGCTAGATATAGTAAACTTATGATGAAACAACCTTCACCGAGATTGGCAAAATCACTTCTGCAATTGGAGAGGGCAAACTCAGAGGAGTGGTAGGACTACTAACCGGTCACTGACATCTGAGAAAACATCTACACAACATGGGTATATACAACGATGATCCCATCTGCAGATTGTGTATTGAGGATGAGGAAACAGCCACTCACATCATCTTCGAATGCGAAGCAACAGCTCAATGGAGGTTTAACCTAACGTAAGGAAAAAACCTAGGGAATCAAACTGCAGCAGCAACAGTCAATGATCTGATACTTCTAAAAAGAAAGATTGAGTCTATTGACTGGCCTAAGGAACTAGGAAGGTACAATAAGCCAGAAGGCTGCAGTACCTGGGGAATACAAACCCCGCTTCCTAGTATCCTTTTCTCCCATACTATACCATACCATCATACAAACTTAATTTGCTGCAGGTAGATAAACGTCCAAAACAATAAATATTATATTTTCACAGTTATATGATTCTAGTAAATACTAAGAGTGAAAAAAATGGATATTTGAGGAGTTTTGAAAAAATCAGTCCAGACAAACTTTGACAGTACTGACTTTCTTTGCCCTGATAAAGAAAATTAAATTTTCCGAAACCTCAGATAAATGAAATAGGAGCTTCTTTTTTTCTCTTACTGAATAATAAGATTTTATCTTAATAAAATTAGGTTAGTTGTCATATATGGAAAATTCCCTTTGAGGAAGTAAAAGCTGTCCCTTGTTCTTTGAGAGTTTTAGATGAAAGTTTACAGAACAATTTCACTAACAGGACAACTGGATTTGACTATTTTCCAAGTTTACATAGCGTCTTGAATTTCAATGTTGAATTCTCAAAAAGTCCCGTTTGAGAAAACACGGTTAAAGTTGTACTGAAATTACTCGGGTGGAAATAGAAAATGGAAAAAGTAAAATGAAATTTATCGGTGGGATTATCTAAAGTCTGTTTAAAATAATAATTCTATTCGGGCTACATTTGTATTATGAATTCCTAAGATCCTTTTGTCTTTTGTATTATAAATCGGGCGGAACAAAAACTTTTGCCATGTGGCATTAAGCCCCGTCCAAATACACATAAGGGAAGCGAAGCTGCGGCTTACTTCAGACGTCCGTGTTATGACAATGGGGGTGGGTTTGTCTCTAGCCAGTGTTCAAACAATAAACAATTGTTTTCCACACGCCACACCACCATAACGCGTTTTGCTACTTGTGCGAGTATCGTTTCAAACGGTTACGATTTTCACTTTGATCATTATTATATCCTAAATTGGATTGAATAAACAAAGGTACTACAAAGAGCATTTTGCCAAGATCTGTTTGTTGTTTGAACAATAAGAATCAAATTAATTAATTAGCATTAGCAATTAAGCAATTAGCGAGTAATTAACAGGACCCTACTATGAAATTCGGGAAAATCCTGATGGATCAACATAAAAAATGAGACACGTGAAGAGATTGATAGAGAGACTACAATACACGCAAAAAAATAAATAAAAATAATCTTTTCTATAATTTCTATTTCTATCTTCTTTTAAATCTTTTCTATACCGACATCCTTCCCCACTCCTTCAAAATCCAACGTATATAAACACAAAATAGCAAAATCTCACTGGCACTCTCGACACGACACGCAAGAATGGCATANAGTTAATGGGACGAGAGGGATTCGAACCCACGACCTTCGGCTAGATACGCCGCTGCTCTACCACTTGAGCTATCGTGACCTCGATCCACTCGGACATCAAATCCCCATCTCAACCCCAGAGAATCCAAACCGATTACACGACATTTGAAAAATGGCAAAAGGAGGGAAAACTCATAAGGTGGGGTTGAGATGGGGAGTTAATGTCCGAGTGGATCGAGGTCACGATAGCTCAGGTGGTAGAGCAGCGGCGTTTCTAGCGGAAGGTCGTGGGTTCGAATCCCTCTCGTGCAATTAACTTATTTTCATCTCAACTAAAAACCTTAATTAATTGTCTTGTATTAATTGGTCAAGCGGACCACGAAAGTAGTGAATTAAGAATATATGTAAATAATGCTTGTAAATCCCAGGCCCTGAAGATGTCTCAATAAAGATCGAAACGTTGGCACGATAAAGAAAATGTTTTTCTGAAACCTGCAACCAGACCGCATCTCACGACTTCTAAATAAATAAAAATAAAAACACTTCATTTTCCAGGACTTCAAGCAGTCTTGAATAACTAATTATTATGAATGGAACGTATTTACAAAAGATTCAAGCCTGGTAAGGGTACACAATTTTTTTTATAGTACTTGGCTGAGAGAGTGAGGAGGGGAAGTCCACAAGTTGGAGGCATGGATAAGGAAGTACTGAAAGCAGTAGTTTTGTGTTTAGAAGGATGGAGATCGGGATGGATGAGCGAGTTTAACGCCAGTATTCAGAGGATCGTAAGGTGAGGAGATTATAAATAGAGAGAAGAATGAGAAGTTAGCATCTGATAGAAAAGGAACCAAGGAAATATTGCCTGAGGTAGGAAGAGTATAAGCAATTCAGTAACGTGGTATTTTTAGCGAGGGCAGCTGGAATCATAAGTGCAATAACATAGGTCACTCAAAAATCTCTCAACTATTGAGTAAGGTTAACGGTCAATTATTAAGCGTTAATGATAAAAAGATTAAAACCCTTTCGGGGAAAAAGCACTTTCAGGTAGTCACCCCTTGTGAATTATAATTACAGTCTGGATGATGACCATCGTAACATAGATTGCTACACAGATGGTTCACTTATCAAAGGTAGAGGGAGTGGTGCAGGAATTTACATACCAAAATTAGGAATCAGCATCTCCTCCCATCTTGGCAATAACACCTCCGTTTTTCAGGCGGAAATCTTGGCCATCAATGTGTGTTGTAGAACACTGATGGAAAATAAAATTATGGGAAAAGATATTAAAATCTTTTCTGACAGTCAGGCTAGTCTTAGGGCATTACAAAAATATTTGTCAACCTCACGACTGGTGGAGGAAACTATAGATCTTATCAATAGGATCTCTTTCAGGTTTGAGAACAAGGTAACCCTTATTTGGATATCAGCACATAAAGGACACCATGGCAATGAAAAGGCGGATGGCCTAGACAAAGAAGGTTCTAATACTGCATTTGTTGGGCCACAACCGGTATTACCTCACTCTATGAGCACAGCGAAAGAGAGTATCAATAACTGGGGCATGAAACAATTCCTTAGGGAGTGGAATTTATCCCCCGGACACAAGCAATCGAAAGAGTTTGTTAAGGCGATCAAACCAGCTGAATCGAAATGGCTATTCTCTATCTCAAGGAAGGGAATTAGGAGGCTGATAGGTATTCTGACGGGACACTGCCCACTGAGAAGATACCTCTTAGTAATGGGTATCCTACCAGATCCCTTTTGCCGCTTCTGCGAAATAAAAGAAGAAACGGCAAAGCACTACCTCGCAGAATGTGATCGGTTTGCTAGGTCTAGATTTGAAATCTTTGAAGGAGAGGACATCACCAAATCACTCCCCGAGATAAAATGGTGGGTT